TTTTAACCACCAAAACGTCACCACCTAACACTAGCCAAAAACTCAGCCAAAACCAGCAAAATCACCCCCCAAAAACGGCTTCAAACCAGCAAAAATCAGCCACTAAATCACCGATTTTGCAAGATCGATCGAGGTTGCAAGTCGTGATTTTCAGTTTGAGGTTCCGTCGCCGGTTCGAAATTTCGATTAGTAACTATTGTTTCTTTTGGTACTCGCCCCTTTGTATACGTTGGAAATTTCAGCAATAAAAGGTTCACTCTTCCCTTTAATTATTTCAGATAATTTTCGTTAGTTTAGATGAATACTTAATCATTTTGTTTCAATCTGTTTTTACCATGCTTTTCCCATTCATTATCGTAATTAAGTTACCCATATGCTTCATGTTAATCTCTTCCGTTTTTGTGCGCCCGTATCCTTCGTCAATTAAATGAATAGCATAAACTATGTTAATATGCATCATGTGATTTTGAGTGGTTTATAACAGTTTCCTTGTTTTGCTTGATAAAATTCCATGTTAGTGTGATGTTTTCATTATGTTAGCATAAGAAGGATTAGGCCTTTAAGCCAGTTTGTCCATCGAGGGTTCGGGATGTTTGGGGTTTGAGTTAATTGAAAATACTTTTCACAACTTAGGAGAGTAATTCATTTTGTAAATAATCATGATAATTAAATTCCATACTACTCCACAATAAATTTCATACCTCATGACTTTAAAAAAATCTCAAAATTAGTTTAGAAAAAATAATTAACAATATCGCTAGGCAACTAGTAGGCGCACTTTAACCTTTTTTATTCACGGACTCGCTTGCGTAGCATGATGTTTAATATTTAGTAAATTAATTCTATAATCTCCATAGTTTAATTATTTTTTAATTTAATTAATCTCTTGTTCTAATCGTGGATTCGCTTGCGTAGCGCGATAATGATATTTAATAATTTTCTAAACTAATTTTCTTAATCACAAATGTAGTAATTTCTCAAAAGTACTGTAATTATTTGATTGTCATGATTCCGGATTCTCTTGCGAGATGCGATTATGATAAGTTAATTAATTTCGTTTTCGATCATGCATTCGCTTGCGTAGCGTGGTCATGACAACGTAATATTCTCCAAGTCATTCTTTAGTAATTCTAATAATCAAGCAATAAAAGCGGACATAGGAAAAACTTAAAAATCATATAAAACACAGTTTGTCCAAAATTAATTCAAGCTAAGTATAAGTCAATAAAAGCGACCGTGCTAGAACCACGGGACTCGGGAAATGCCTTACACCTTCTTTCCGGTCAACAGAATTCCTTATCCGGACTTTGTTTTTGCAGATCACTAATAAAAGAGTCAAACCTTCCTTTGACTAGGGATTCAAATAAAAGGTGACTTGAGACACCGAAAAATCAATTCCAAATGACGACTCTATAAATAAAATAATCCATACTCAAGTTTGTCACTTTAATTGGAAACACTCTTTAACCCACAACAATCCATAACACATCTTTTGGGGGGTTAAAAAGGGGTGTGACATAATGTATTAAAATGCTTAGGAGGACTAGCCACTATTCCTATATATATCCTACCCGTCCCTTAGCCCACATTACAACCATGAAAAAGTCCTAATTGATTTTAGATCGAGTGAGCCTACATTAGTAGAGATTTACAATAAGGGCAAGCATATTGTACCAATTGCATGCATGTGACTTCTTTTGTGAGAGTGAGTGGTATTCTTTGATATATATGAGTCATTAAAATATATTTGAGCATTTGATTTAAGTGTGTGGATTCAACTTACTCTTTTGTTCTTGTTGTGAGGGCACATAGTTTCATGAGGGATATGTAACGTTATTAGACTTGTCTAGGATGTTGGGTGTTCAAGCCATGAGTGCATTGTGACACTGAGTCGGTTTAGAGGCTAGGATTGTTATAAGCATGTCGTCTTTGTTGTGAATATTTTTGAAGAATGACATAAGTTAAGGGACGTGTAAGTGATTGCATATGCTACAGTTTAATTGTTGCTATCAACTATGGTCATTGGTGTAGTGTGCCTCGATTGTGTAAATATAAAGTGCTCAAGGATAGTATGAATTGTTAGTTGACTTGAGGACGAGCAACGTTTAAGTGTGGAGTGGTGCTGTTTGGTTAAAATTCTATATTTTTGCATGTAATTTGCCTTGCATTATACCTTGATCTTGTTAACTTTGATGTGAATATTTATGACTCGAGCTTAATAACGATATTTTTATGTGCAGGAGTCAATTGGAAATGATTTGGGGAGTTTGCATGCAAATTAACGTTAAAAAGAAAAGAATTTGGAGCAAAGTGCACAAAGAAATTGGAGGACAAAGATAAAACATGCAAAAGGAGAAACTAACGAAAAAGAAGCTTAAGAGAACTTACCTGGAAAAGCAACAATGTTGGTTGTGATTGCATGAAGCTTGGAAAGAAAGTTAGGCAACAAGCACTAACAAAAGAAATCAAATTAGAGTAACGACGCAGGAGATATCCTTGCATATAGTGGCGCGACGCGAGCCAATTCTCGCGCGTTTAAGGTCGCGAGGCCAGGTCCGGCGCGGGGACGTTCGCGTGTTTCACACCTTGATGCACGGGTCCGGGTTTCAAAGTTAGTTTGTTTTCTTTTTGGTTTTAGACTTGGTTATTTTGCCTAGGCTTTTCCCTATATCTATAAATAGTTTTTAAATATCATTTTTAGGGGGGGATTGGACCAAGGGAGAGCACGGAACCGCCGTAGAGGGCGAAATTCATCAGATTCTATCTTTCTTCCATCAAACTCAGTAAACTTTACGTTTCTTTGGATGAATTGTTATTTTGCTACCATGTCTATGTAGAGCTAAATTTCGCGTTCTAGGGTTGTGGTTGTCATAAATATTGAAGTTTATTAATTATATTACCGTTAATTCGAGTTATCATCTTTGGTTATTTCTTTAATTCTGTACATAATTGTTTAATTGTTTGGCCAACAGTTGAGTTGTATTTATTATCTATACTATACTTGAGAAAGCCGTGTTTAGATTAGAGTAGAATTAAAGAGAGCTTGTTTCTGAACCCGTGGCTCGGAGAACGATTTCGCGGTTAGGATAGGAATATCCCTAGCAGTCTTTAGTTAAAAACCGTATTATATTCGTTCATGATAGACTCAATACCATAAAAATATAGGATTGATATATTGTGGATAGGCGAGTAATATTGTGGAAACATGCTATTCATATAAACGATCCGGTCAATTAGCAACCATTGATAATCTGGATTAACAAGTGTGGTTATTGAACTTAATAGGATTGATAAACCGACCACAACCCTGGAATCTTCATCTCCTATGAGTAAAATCTAAAACACACGTTTGCATCTCCGATAAATTTGCTAATTGTTAAATATTTGCAAAAATAGTTTAGTAGATAAACAACATTTTGGATTATCTTGGACAGTTAATTAATTTTAGTTTGCTTAGTTAACCATTAATCTAAGTCTCTGTGGGTTCGACATCCGACTTTCGAGTCACTTTATTACTTGATGGCCACATATACTTGCGTGTACTTGGGGAACCAACAATATATATATATATATATATATATTTGGAACTATATGTTATACTTGAAGATATAAAGACATGGACACAAGTAATAGACTCTGTTAAAGATTTGGAAAAACCTCTTTTTAAAGGTTTTAATACTTCTGTGCTAGAGAAATATTAGGGCAAAATTATTATGTTTCATCAAGTCTTAGACAGTTCCAAAATCCATATACTATTCCTCAGTATAATATCCAGAAAGATACAAATCAGAAAATTAATTTATGTGATTATTATACAGCCATGACAAAGAGTTTCAAAAAACTAAATCGGAAGAGAGAAAAATAAACTTCTTGATCAAATTAAGACTTTAGAATCTAGAATTCATGCATTAATGTTTGAACTTGCACAAACTCAGAGTTCTCTATCTCCTTAAAAAATGGATGAGACGGGTGTGTATTCCCCAATTAATACATATAAACCTATTGTATCACGTCTAGATATCATTAGTTTGTTTCAAACGGTAGCTGGTAAAGACATATCAAATCCGTTAATGGCTGACACTTTGCCAAAAAGTGTAAATTTAACTCCCGAAATTAAAGAAAGAAGAAGGTTGCCAAGATATATTACTCAAGGAGAGACATTCAAAAGAAGACAAGTAATTTCAAGAAAAAAGAATGCTGAAAAAATAAAAAATATCATTAAGCAGACATTAGAATTTTTTTTGACAAAAGATAAACAAATATTGGAAGGGGAATCAAAGAAAAAAAAAGCAACCCCACAGAATTCAGAAGAGGACAACACAGATAAAAACTAAGATATGAGATATCATGAAAATGAAGATGATTACTGTGGAATGAGTTTCGATTTAGTGGCTTTGCATAATTTGGACACATAAAAAAAAGAATGAAGTGACATAAAGTTGAAGAATAGTAGAAACGAAAAGACATAAAGGTAAAATCCCTATATATATATATATATATATATATATATATATATATATATATATATATATATATATATATATATCAACTACTCCATATAGCACATCGACCGATAACGGAGTACACAATTATCATGAGGAGGAATAAGAAATAGCTAATCTTTATTGGTTTCTTCAAACTTGTTATTACGCTGCAATCTTGGTTACTTAAATCTGTTTGAATAATCAAGATGGAGATGGCAGAAATGTCACTTCTCTTGTCTCTACTCCCATGAAATTTCAAACAAGACTACATTATTCATGTGCTTTTGAAGCATTAATCCAAATCCTTAAATACTGCTCGATCAGCGCCATAAAATTAGTGTTGGGTAAGGCTACTAAACATGTCCTCACTGCTTTCATTCATGTTCCTTTTAAGTAATTCACCAAAAGTTTCTATATAAGAAATCCTGCAAGATTTTAGTGAGACTCAAATGAACTGTTGACTTTCCATATACAGTGATATACTGCAGTATACAAAAGGTCCAAGTGCAAGATTTGCTACCAATAGTCCTTACAAGAACAAAGACCACCTTTAAAACAATGAAATCTATTCCTATCACGCACAACTATCTCTCGCTTGACAATTTCTGATATTACTTTGAAAGCAGCATGGCAGTCTTCACAAACGCGAAGATTCTTCATTATCCTTATTGTTTCTCCTGGTTTGGTGTTCATCAAACCAAAAACAAGGGCCAATTTCTCACTATGGCGATACAAATATTTTTCTTTCTCATTCTCTTCCATGTCTAGTAGAACCACTGAAGTATTTGGTACATATCCTTTGAACCTCATCTGTTCTAGCAGTTTGTCCCATCTTTCAAAGATCTCCTCTGCCTGAGGATGGTTGTCATCTCCGGCCACAAATTCATGCATTACTCCTGCTATAGTTATTGAACTCCAACCTGGAGTTTTCTTTACTCCTCGATCTTTCATCAACTTCCTCACCCTTGCTGCATCTTCCCAGCGCTTAGCTTCTGCATAAATATTTGACATAATTATATAGTATCCGTCATTAAGAGGGTCCAATATACCTAGGTGCCTCATAGCTTCCTCGGCCATGTCCACATCCTTTTGAATTCTACATCCACCTAGAAAAGAACCCCATATGACACCATTTGGCTTTATAGGCATGCTTGCGATGAACTCATATGCCTCTTTAAGAAGTCCTGCGCGACTCAAGAGATCAACCATGCAACCATAATGCTCAATTTGGGGAGTAATGTTATAGCCTCTAGTCATACTACCGAAAAATTCTCGCCCCTCATTGACCAACCCCATATGGCTACAAGCATGCAAGATTCCAAGAAATGTGACCTCATTAGGCTTCATTCCCGTTTTGATCATCTTGTTAAAGAGTTCTAAGGCTTCATCAGCCTGTCCATGCATAGCTAAACCCTGGATCATAGCAGACCACGATACAATTGTCCGTTCCTTCATTTCTTCAAAAACAGCTTTTGCAGCCTCTAAGCACCCACACTTAATGTACATGTCAATCAGAGTGTTACAAACGTGAATATTTCTTTTAAACCCGCTCTTATTTGAATACTCATGAATCCTCCTGCCCAATTGAAGTGCACCCAAATCAGCACAAGCTGCAAGAACAGCCACTACAGTCACCTCATTCGCCCTCAAGCCAGTCTCTTCCATTTCTGTGAAAAGTCTAATAGCCTCTTTAGCCTTCCCGCAATGAACAAAACCCGTAATCATGGCAGTCCAAGACCTTAAATTTCTCTCGGGCATTCGGGAAAACAATTCAAACGCCCCATTAATATTACCCTTCTTCGCTAATTGTGTAATCATTATATTCCAAGACACAACATCTCGTTGAGGCATTTTATCAAACAGAAGCATGGAATCAGCCATTGCTCCACAACTAGCATACAAGTGAAGAAGTGCGTTTAGCAATACTAAATTCGACTGAGACCCAAGTTTCTCAATATAAGCATGGACAATTTTCCCACATGAAAGATCCAGTAATTTCAAACAAGCCTTGAGAACAAAAGAGCAAGTGAAAATATCAGGTACAACATTGTAAATGCGCATTTGATGAAACAAGAAAATGGCATCAATAACAGAATTGCCTTCAGCAAGATTTCTCAAGCAGCTATTCCACACAGAAACTTCTGGCTGCTCAATACAGTAAAAAATCTGTTGAGCGAATGAGAAGTTGGGAGTAAGTGCACAAACGGAGGCAACACGAGAAAGTGGGAGTAATGAGAGAGGTTTATTGGTTTTAATGAGAAAGGCAACAACTTGTTTGAGCTCAAATGGGGAGTTGAAATTGTAGGCAAGGCTAGTGTAGGGGGTTTCTGAAGTGGGTGTTTGCACATTGTTTTTGGCATCAAAGGAGCGTTTGAGTTTTGGGGAGAGAACGGTATGGTTGGGAAGTGAAGATGCCAAACAAACAGACTGCAGCATGGCCAAGCGTCGATGTTAGCTGCTAAGGAAGCATCAACCTTTATATGTGTCTGTAATTAGAAATGAGTTTTGACTCGCAACCAAGAAATCAGACTTTATGATGTTATCATGTTTACCCCGAATTCTCAGAGTTTGAATTCCAGACTTTTACTTAAATAATGAAAGAAAATTCTGCTTAATCTAGGTGATGTTATCATGTTTAATCTGGATTCTAAGACTTCTAAACCATAAACATTATTTGATTCCAAATTCAGAGCAATGCCTGATGGTGTTAACTTGTTAGTTAAAGTATAGATATAGAGATTTAAACTTAGAATCAACTTAAAGTTTATCAAGATTCATCATAATTTTTTATCATTTTTAAACTGCTTCGCTAACCTACACAATTCTCTTTCTTTATTTGGACTTGGAATTGATTTATCAGTATTCAAAAGATCTGTCATAATTTCTTTATTTTTATGCCACCCCGTTAACCTATAACAATTCTTTTTCTTTATTTGGACATGAAACTAGCTGCTTTCCTAACATAAGCATCCTTGATACGGTAAGGAATGACCCAAGCAAGTCCAAAAATTGATAAAAACATATTTCATATGTCAGCTGCTACTGTGCAATGAAGAAAGAGATGTCTCACACTCTCAAATTCCTCCCGACACATAAAACATCTGTTCACTGTCGGAATGCTTCTTCTACTGAGGTTGTCTTGAGTAAGGCAGGCTTCAAATGAATTAAGATAATGTCATAAAGTATGGAAATTATTAAGTATGGAAATTATTAAGTAAGGTAATCATTATTGCCTGTTGCAAAGGTTTATAACACGTTATTGACATCCCAAAACATCAAAAAGTGTAACCATTTTCACCCACAAGGTTTTGAACTAGTGGTAAGTGCTCAACACCTAATGTATGGGTTAGATATACATCACCGGTAGCCTAGTATTTATGAAGAAAGGTAAAGGTGCGCACCCATTATCCACTGAATTTTAAACCACTGACAAATTGGAAGTTCGAAAGTCCCAAATCATAAAAGTATGCACACTGAAGAATCAAGAACCATAACGCCTAAGTTGTTTCCTGAACTTAGTCCGTCATATTGTAGAACTAGAATCTGATGTATCAGATACACCCGGTACAGGCACCGATCATACAAAAACACATAATGAACAAAATCGATACTAAATCTTCCGCAAGAGACTAGGACAACATAAATGCTGCAAACTCATCAAACTCGTTATAAAAACCAGTAACTACATTCAGAAGTTATTTGAAATGTAAAGGACAACGGGACTGCTATAGAAACTATCAGAAAACTCATTACAGAAACTAGTAACTAAACTCAAAGTTTACTTAAAATGCGAAGACCTCAATAGTCAGGGATTGAAGTAAATCGATAACCTTGAGCACCTCTCCAAGAATAATATGCAATCCGTGTCTCATAAAAACCTGCAAGTATTCATTAAGTGTCAAAGTGGCTGTTGGAAGTTTCTTAATCAATATAAGGAAAAGCGAAGAATAAACATAAAGTAAGAACTTAATATGCAACAAAAAGTGTAGTCAGTATTAGACACTGAATGTCTAAACAACATGAAGAAAACATGACTTGAACTAAAATCTAAACAGTCTAATAAATCTATCATTATTGCCTATTGCAAAAGTTTATAACACGTTATTGACATCCCAAAACATCAAAAGTATGACCATTTTCACCCCAGGGGTTTTGGCCTAGTGGTAAGTGTTCAACACCTGATGTATGGGTTACATCACCGGTTGCCGGTATTTATGAAGAAAGGTAGAGATGCGCGCCCATTATCCACTGAATTTTAAACCGCAAACAACTAGCTCTTGGGATTTCTCGGTTATCCCGAAAAAAATAAAAAGAAGGAAAAAAAATATATATGAAAAAAGGGCAGCTCGATGCACAAAGCATCCCGTGTTCATGCAGGATTCGGGGAAGAGCCGTACCCCAAGGGGTGTGATGTAGGCAGCCTACCTTGATGCAAGCATCAATAGCTGATTCCACGGCTCGAACCTGTGACCTGCAGGTCACACGGAGACAACTTGACCATTGCTCCAAGGCTCCCCTTCAAAATATATATATGTATATATATAAAATGTGTGACCATTTTTAAGTGCACAGCACAATCACCTTCATATGGGGCTTCTTGCAACTATAGAGATAAGGTAGATAAATTAACAAGTAGTCCTACCATTTGCTGTCTGCTTATTTAACATGCTTACAGATTCAATGGAAGTTACCTTGTTAATTCAAACTGGTATTCATACTGCCAAACAATGGTGCAACTGTAACATGACTCTGGATTTAGTGGACTACTGCACTCTCAACAAGGATATCTTGAACAACCTTATACAAGATTTGTAGCTTTATCATCCAAAGCAGTATAACATAGATGGATGTTTTACTTACCAGGGAGAAAAGTGAGAATTCCAAGTCCAAGAAGACCATATGCCTGCGAGCGCTCTCCTCCCATATGACCAGATAAGATGAAGTATGATAGCAAGAGAAGCAGACATCCCAGAAAGAGCAGAAAAAGAGCAAGGGCAATGGACTTCCAGGGGATTCTATCTAACGATTTTGGTGAATAATCAAATCTAGGGTCAGGTCGCCTGCCAGCACTACCATAATAGTCCTCATCTTCATCCACAGCGAGACGACTGTAAGGAATGTTCCGCCTGGAAGCCATACACCAGAATTCCCAGTCTTTGAATTGGAATAGATTAACAAATTTGGCAAAAGGTCAAATCAGAACAAGGCTGCTTGAGAAAACACCACCTAATTGAGAACACGAGGATCTGACTATCAGAATATATAATAAGTTGGCAAAGTGAGGTAGAATTTTAAAAATAAATACCTTCTTGGTCAAGGAGGATAACCACAAAAGATGGCTCAATAATACACACAACAATAAGGTCACGTTCTAAATTGTTCTACAAAAATATGTCAATATTTGCCCCCTATATGTGTGTGTGTGGGGATATTTATTATATCTCAAAATATGTCATTTGTTCCATATTGCAGCTCATGAGAGTCCATAACTTTTCCTGGCTTTTAACTCTGTTGTTACTACGCTCATGACATTGCTGGGAGCCTGGTCTAATTACCAAAGAATAAGAAAGGAAATACCATTTCTACAATGCATTTTTAAGTCAAAATTTTGGTGGTTTTGGCCATAAATATACCTCAAAACTCCTAAACACAAGAAACGGAACATTTTGTTTTACGTGGTCAGATCCTCGTTCTGAAGCATCATCAAATTTTAATCGTCCAATTGGAGGATTCCATGGTGAGACCTTTACATGACTTCTGGCATTAGCTCCTATTGTTTTTAGGTATAAAGGATTCATAAAACTCATGAACCATTTTCGACAGTTCTCCAGGTGGCATATAGTTATACATTTGTTACTCATATCACCAACTTTAGTCAGTACCACACCAATTCATCACAGACAACCTTTTTCCAACATTGGCTAATGAATTTTGACTTGGTACCACAGGGAAGCCTCTCAAAACAGTATAGTACCACTGCACTGATGTCCTTGCTTTTTTATGCAAATTGGCTGGAAAGGAAGATGAGGTCTTTTAATTTGAAGAATTGTCCCTTATTAACTTTGAGGCACTGATCACGAAAGCATGTTTTCTAAGCAAAAAAAAGAAAGCTATCCAAATTTATGTGGTGAACTCATTAGTTTTCTGGAGATCTCAACTAGTATAGTCGACTATCCTAGATGACACTTTCCCTTTACCTCTACTTTGAAGACTTCTTCCTCTTGCCTTTGCAGGCTAGTATTTACTCTAAAGATATGTACAAGGGATTGCATCCCCTTGATGCTATACTGATGAAACTTCCAAATTGTGTCCAATCAATTAACTGTGTCTCAAACTCCAAACTAATTAGGGTCACAAAAATCCTATCCCCAAGCTTTCATATTTAGCAGGTGTACCATTTTTCCTAAAACGTGTTGATTGGACCATAAGGGGCCTTCTACCAAGGATTTGGTTAGGGAATAAGATTACATTTGTGGTGCTTTGCATTCGATTAAAGGTGAATAATTTATTTTCATTATTATTCTTCTCTTTTCCTTTGAGAGCTTATACCTATTAATTTTTTCAATGGACTATCAAATGTTTCATGACTCTTTGAGTGTTTATAAAGAAACATCAAAATCAAGCAATCAGAAATTCCAGATGCCATTTCATTATAACAAGTTTAAAAACCAATCTTTTTCAATCTAGTTAGGGCCATAAACATATTAATATCCCTCAGAAATCAAGTTAGATAGGAATCCAACTCAATCAACAAACAATTACGTAATTATCACCTAATACAGATCAATAAGACATTCTACTAACTCGAAAAGCTTCGGACTAACCTTGAAGGGAAGCAAGTACAAATTCTCCGAAGAAAGTGACCCGGAACAATGACGAAAACCTAACCCGGCAACGATAGCAGTGGAGCGTGGTAAACACCCGAGAAATTGCGCAACCAACTTTGACCAGATTTCTTTTGTTTCCTTATTTTGTGCTCGGAATAGACTTTGTCTGACTATATGTTATTCTCCTCATTTCCTGTCGTTTCTATATATATATATATATATATATATTTTCTGAAGCTGATAGTTTCAGCCTTTGAGGGATCAAAATATTTTAAATTATTAGGTTCTAAATTAATAATTTATATATATTTAATAAAATTTTAAAATAAATACATAATTTGAAATAAAGTTATTGGGTTCGATCGAATCCGTAGCTTCTATTCTTCCTCCGTCCACACTAAACAAGTTACTACTGTTCAATAAAAGAAAAAATTACTAGTGTTCCACAAGTGAAAATGGTGAAAATTTCAAGTCCGGAAAAAGGTGAAAAAAATTCAAGTGAAAATGATAATTGAAAATTATAGTTGTGTTTGGAGATGAATACAATTTTGGATTGTTTTTAAATTTTTTTGAGTGATTTCAAGTGAAAATTTTGAAAAATAACTTTTT